CAAACCTTAGTATACTCTGATAATGCAACCTGAAGCTGAGGGTACCTCTGCGAGACCCCATAAATGAGTCTGGTAGGCTCAGATCAGGACAGACATGCCACAAATTAAGGAACAGAAATAGATGATGATGCAGGATCACACAATCTCTTGGAGGATTCAGCAACATATCCCATCCTTATAGCTTAATACCGATCCCAGAAACATATTGGCTGTAATGTTGCAATTTGTAAACTCTGAGTTCTCTAGAAATAGTTAACTTGCAGAGGTATTAGGTCTGCACAAAAATTAGTATGAGTTCAATGGCAGTTATCCTCAAGGAATTAATTACAAGGATGAAAATGTCACTAGCTACCACACAGGTAATCTAGAACGATTTATGCAACAGGCAGTGTTTCGTGAGCTATCCAACAATTCCCCAATTTCAAGTGTGTTCTAGTAATCTTGTTGGCAGTCTCTGACTATAACTAGATAATTAAGACTCTCAAGGGTCTCTATTTGTAAATGATAAAAAAAACCTTGTTTTGCTTTTCATGTTTTAGTGTATATTCATTCAGTTTGTAGTCCTATCAATTTGTAGGAAGATGAGTAGATACTTTGTGAAAGGAAACACAGTAGAAGGTAATTATAAAATACAATCTGGGGGCAGTGGGCCACTATAATGGCTTATGGCATCTTTTTCAATAGGCTTTAAGAGCCAGGCATAGTGTGGCAACACCTGTAATTCCAGCAAGCAGGGAAACTGAGGCTGGCTGTCTTGAGCTTGGGAGATTTGAACTGCAGAAGACTAAATGGATGTCTGCATTTCTTTTCCCAATTTTTCCTCTACTTCTTTTGTTTGGCTTTTAAAATAAATTTTGTTTTTTTTTTTTTAAAGATCTCCTCCTTTAACTCTTCTAGGAATTCTTTTTGGGCTTGTGTCCAATCTGCATTTTTTTTTCCCTTCTGAGGCTTTGCTAGTAGATGTTTTCATGTGATTGTCTTCTGAGTTTATGTCTTGAGCTTCCCTGTCACCATCGTAACTTTTTAATGGTCAGATTGTTGTTGTTGTTTGTTCATTTTCCCTGCCTATTTCTTGACGTTGGACTTTATGTGAGAGTTGGTCTCTGCTCACCCCTGGGAGCTGGGGGGAGGGTGGCAGAATATCTAGCCTGAATTTCTGTCTTTTATGTCCTACTGCTCTCACAGATCAGTCTAGGGGCTTGTAAGTTTTTGGGGCTTCCAATGTGATGTGATCCAGGTTGAGGTCTGGTCACTACCCTCCTAGTCTGCGCTGTTTCTTACAGAGTAGAGCCCCAGCTCCCTTGTGACTGCAACCAATCCTCTCTGTCCTAGAACTGCAACCAGGAACTGGGGAACGGGCAACAAACCGCTCTGGAACTATGACCCAAAACTGGCTAATGAGCACCAGAGCTGCCAAATGGCATCTGAGTCCGAGCCAAGTGCAAGTAGAGGGTTTGCCTGGGATCTCTTTCAGACTGGGTGTTCGGTCCCCTTCCTGTCCTTGAGTGCCACAGCTGCTGCCACTGCCCCTAGCCAGCATTGCTGTCACTGCTTGGGTCACTTTGGACCTGGCATGCTCCCATCCAACCTCCACTTCTGTGTTCTGTTTTCTTAAGTTGCCCTGGGCTAGAAAAATGACTCATTGTGACTTTTTGTTGGTTTTCTGTGCAAAATTTGGTGTGATATGTTTTTATCAAGGTGTTGTTGTTGTTGTTTGTTGTTGTTGTGTGTGTTGGAAGAGTTTGGAAAAAATGATAGTTTTACTCTGCTATCTTAGCTCTACCCCCATGTGTTTAAATTTCTGATATGAGGCAATGCCATTTGGCATCGGCAAAGATCTCCTTCATCTTTCATCATTTCATTAGTAGTGCTTAATCAATTTGTGGTAGCATACTTTCATGAGATCTCCATCTTTTCCCTTTGACAACCTAAGGTAATGAGGTTGTGACATGGCTCACCCAATGACCAGTAATTTCCTGAGCCCTTAAATCAATTAATTCCTTCTCCTTTGACCTTGGCATTGGCAGGAAAATACCTCAAATACAACTCGATATATGCAATTTACTGGCTCATCCAGCATAAATTCTCCTGTATCTATAGTGATTTCTTTTTCTAGTTGGGAATTCCCACCACAGTCCAGAAATTCTTATTATCTTATTTCCAGGCACATAAGAGATGCTTCCCTTACTGCTCTGTTTTTCTTTGTATAACCAGGCCTTACAAACAGGAGTAATATACTAAAAGCACCAGACAAAGCAAAAAAGGTATAAACATGGGCTTAGAGCCACTGCTGAGTCAGTTACATAGACTCAAGTCTTTCTGTTGTCTAACTATTCCCTGACCCTATGTTGGTACTTCTCTGGGTCCTTCACCCCAACATAGTCCTTCTCTGGCTAGATCATTTGCCTGCACTCTCATCTTAATCAGGCTTGCAATGTTATCATGAAGTTGTTGTTCAGTCATTTTCAGTTGTGTCTGACTCTTCATGATCCCACTTGGGGTTTTCTTAGCAAAGATACTGGAGTGGTTTGCCATTCTTTCTCTAGCCCAGTTTATAGATGAGAGAACTGAGGCAAACTGGGTTAAGTCACATAGTAAGTGTCTGAGGCTAGATTTGAACTCTGGAAGATGAGGCTTCCTGACTCCAGGCCCAGCATTCTATCGCCTGTGCCACCTGGCTGCCCCATTATCATGAAGAGTGTCCCTTTAAGTTAAGAATTCTTAACCTTTTTTGTGTATCACGGACACCTTTGGCAGTCCTGTGAAGCCTATGGATCCCTTCCCCCTTTTTTTTCCCAAAGCGTACAATTAAATACATAGGATTATAAAGAACAGAAATTATATTGAAATAAAGTTATCAAAATATTTTTTAAAAGTTCACAGTTAAGAATCCCTACTCTGTCTATTAGTTTCTTACTCGAGCCTTGATTCCTTCTAGCCTGGGAGTTGGCACAATTTGTTAAAGTTTCTACTCAGGGATTGGTCCCACTTTTGAAATCCTCAGATTATTGTGAGCATATGATGAGATTACATGAAGACAAAAAAGAGTTTTGTTCTTGGTATGATTTACTCATAATTTCTCTGTATCACTCTGCTGAAGGAATTGCCTAAGTCCAAACAGACATTAATATTTCTCTCTCCCCTGGCTAGGGCTTAAATGCCAGTCCACACAAATGCCAGAATTTATTCTTCCTGCCTCTGGAACCTATGAAGAGAGACAGTGCCAAGCCTGGGCAATGTTTCATTGTTGCTGTCAGGACAGGACAATGCCTGAATGTAGCTAAGATGACCCTGCTGACCTATTACCACTCTACAGTCACTGCCTAGAGTTTCCAGAAGTGCTTACTTGACAGGTGAACAGGTAGAACTAATACTTGAAAGTGAAGCAGAAGCATTGCCTCCAGAGCTAGAAGTATTGTCAAAAGTTATGGCCTCTCATACTGGTATCCTCATGGCTAAAGGGAAGGTTGGTGAGCAGCTTCAAACAGAAGGCGAATGGTGGAATTTGTGGGAATTCATCTTGTCATGGGCTGCATCCTTGTGGTACCTCTTTGTCTAAACCCCTGTGTCATCTGCCTCTGAGGGTGGACAAGACAGGTGGTGCTTTTGTATCCATACCCCAGGGAAACGTACACTCAGATCAACATTCTGAACTTTTTGTCTTTTCTTGTCAAGAAATGCCACTGTGAGATACAATTAACTAATTTAGAGGAAAGAATCTCAGCATGCCAAATATTTTGGCAGCAGTTTATTCATAAGGGGGTTTTCCCCATACTTTTCCAACTACCCTACTATTGCAGAATGGTAGCCTGTTTAAATAACACTGACAGCATGGCATCATTGCACCATTCTTTAAATGGCACTTGGCACAGTGCCTGGAATACATGGTAGGTTTTAATAAATGTTTATTGGTTGAATAGACCATATTTAATTATTCCCCATCAAAGGCACAGAATTACCAAATGATGCTTTCCCAAGATATGCCTATGAAGTTGCTTGTCTTTCCTTCTCTATAACCCAATCCAATCCAATAAGCATTTATTAACACTAGTGTGTAGAAGGCATGACTTGGATTGTAAATGTGTGTCTCTGACTTTAAGTGCCATGTCCAATTCAAACCAAAGTCCTTCTGAATTCTGTGAAGGTTTTGAAGAAGGAAGGGAGCATTGGACCTGGAGACCTGTCTGAATACAGGCTCTGCCACTTAGTAGCTCTGTGATTTTGAGCAATTTACTTAATTTCCCTAGAACTCAGGTGTTTCAACTGTAAAAATGAGTTCTAGAGCATGAGGTTCTTTCCCATTTTTGTGTCCTGGATCCCTTTGGCCGTGTGTTGAAGCCTATGGCCCATCTTTTCAGGTGTTTTATGCCTACTGTTATAATTGAAGGAAATGCTAGATTTCAAGTAGAGAGGCTAATGAAAATAAAGGTGTAACATTTTTTTCCCATCCAAATTCACAGACCTCCTTCTGGAATCTATCTGTGGACCCCTGGTCAAGAACCCTCTCTAGTCTAGAAAATTGCTCTTTCTGGTTCTAACACTCAGTGATTCTGTGAGGATCTGATATTGCACATAGGTTAAATGTATTTAAGAGGAGTTAATAGCAGTGATGAATTGGTAGGTTTAAAGAGGAAGGAGAGGGGCACATGGAGTGGATAGAAAGCTGGCCTTGAAGACCTGTTATCAAGCAAGTCCCAACTCTGACACATACTGGCTATGTGACCCTGCTCAAGTTGTTTAACTTCTCTGTGCTCTAGGCAACTCTAAGACACATACTAAGTTTCAGAGGAGGCACTGACCTGCACTGGCAGACAGATCTTCCTTACCATGTGTTCCCCATGCCAGGGAAACCACAAGTCCATTCCCCGTCTCTATAACTAAACTGACTTTTATCACATTTTAAACCCTTTGTTTTTCATGTTGTTCATATTCAGGGAATGTAAAACACCACCAACTAAAAGACCTTCAAGGATAAAGAACAACAATAAACTTGGACTAACCCTTGGTGTATAGCCAGGCCAACAATAGGTTCTGGTTTTTATTCCAGTTACATTCGGAGGAATACCAAACTTCTTGTCAAGTTGTATGAAATCTGTCTTTCTCCTCAGGTAAACAGAACCTTTTGTTAAAACTACTATTCCTTCCTCTATTATGCAAACTTCTTCTATATCATGCCTTTCTTCATCAGTCAGGCTGTTGGGGGGTATTCTGATCTTCTCTGAAGTATTGAAAGCATCCTTTGTAAAAAGGGTCTCCCAATGGGAAACTGTAGCAACAGTTGCAGGAAAACAAGGGGGCCAGTCAAAAAGTATATTTCGTTCATCTTTCGATGTCATTTTTACGTACTCGGGATTCTGACTGAAAGTTAGGGAAACATAGGACAGTAAAAAGATATAGTCTGCGATAAAGCAGTCTTGTAAAGCTACTGAATTTCCTTTGATTTGCATAAAAAGGTTACTTTTCGTAAGTGGTATATGCGTTTCCCAGATCCTAAAAACAGAAAAATAAAGCCATGATTACCGGCAAGAATTAAAGATTCCTTTCTACCTTGTCCTGACCCCCCACCCAATCTTATAAACAGATTAATCTTACTAAAAACAATTATTTGAAGTTATTTCTGTATTCAGAAATCTTCAGTGGCTCATCATAGCCCATAGGAAGATCCTCAATGAAATTTTCAACTATCCCTCTCCACTCTGTACTGCAAACTCAAGCCCCATTTTCTCTATCAATATTTTCTTTTTTTTTCATTTATTGCTTTTTTTATTAATATATCAACACATTAAAATCTTGTAAGAACCATATTTTAATCCACTTCAAGTCCACTTGGAAGTGTTGTGGGCCCAACGTGGGTTATTTGTTTGCCACCTCTGCTTTACGTCAAGATTCCCAGACCACTAACATCACTTGATCACATATGGGCCACCAATAACCCAGACTTACAACAGAATAAAATATCCTTGTAACTAGTCCTAATAAACATCATTTATTCTTTCTTTTGTGATTCAGTAAATATTTGAAGATTCATTGTTATAACTGTCACCTCCCCACTCCTCACCTTGTATTCTGTAATCCAGCCAAACTGGCCCCTTTCTCTTTCTCAAACGATATACTCCATCTCTCATCACTGGACCTTTCTGCTGGCCATCCCCACCCCATTGCCTGGAATGCACACCCTCTGAAACTGTTGCATATAATCTTTTTTTTCCCCCTCCCAGATGCAACTTGAGCGACATCCATGTGAAGCCTTTTTGGCTCCTGCTAAGAATTACTGGACTCCCTCCCTAAGTACCTTGCATTTATTTTATATTTTGTATTTTTTTATATTTATTCTGCATGTTCTTCTATATGTTCCTTTTGTCTTCCTATTTGAATGTATGTTCCTTAAATAGTGAAGCTGGTTCATTCTTTGTATTAGTGGTATATCTGGTGTATAGTAAGCATTTAAGACACTGTCATTTGTTGATTGATTATCACTGTCAATGTTATTATTATTTGAATCTAAGGTTTATCATCAATTAGGATCATACTATTGGAGCACTGAAGGACCAATTAGTCGGGACAATGATAAAACCTGGTTTAACATAAAGTAAGTTTACTGAAATGGTACATACAAGAATAAGCTTATTTATCATTGGCAATGTTCTAACAAACTTTAACTCTCATAAGAGCACAACTCTGAAGTTTCCTTACTCACCCTTAAGTAATAAAAGGAAATGCCTCTGTGATGTGTGTCATCACCTTCCTGCTCTATGTTATTTGAAATATCCTCTGAAAGTGTTAAGATACCAGCATTACAATGAATAGCCTGGATTATTCAGAAACCTATCCCATCAATACTTTCTTGATTATTCTAGTTAACACTTTTTTTCTGAAGTTTTATGGTATTTATTTTAGCACTTAATCATATATTATTGTAGAGCTTGGCTCAAAGTCTAGAAGGGCTTGCTGGCACATACATATGTGTAAGACATTTACATGTGGCATATACACATCTGTCTATCATCTATCTACACATTAATTTATCTTTCTACAATAAAGGCAGGAATTTGAAAAAAAAAAGAATTGAGTTGTGGGGTAATTTACTAATGCCTGTTGTTCCTTTGCCTTTCTTTACCCCACCCATCCCAATGCCCATTCATTTGTATCAGAGACCAAAAATTAATTTCAAGACTGGAAAAATGAGTGGGTTGCAGACCAACTTGGTGGTTTGATGAAAGAGAAGTCCCTAAAATGTCTTACAAGCAGTGTAGTTTGGCCAACGAGGATCAACAAAAAATTTTTTAACCTAAAATCATACAAAGTCTTGGGATAGAGACACTGCCCTTGGTGACCAGGAAGTGTAGATTTAAAAATAGGCAACACATTTGTATGTGACTTCACTACATGACTGTTAACTGTATTTCCAGAATGTGAGGACTTTTATTCTGGAGTCTATCATGTCTGTGGCTCTGAGGTTAGACACAGTCTCAGGAGAAAAGCAGCTAATGTTTTTCCTTAGTCACCATGTAAGGATTTCATTTTCCTGAGGTTTCTAAGCCCTAAGATAAAAAGATGGATGGCAGACACCACTCTCTTAAAAAAATCTCTATTCTGAATTCAAACAACCACAACAACAACAAAAAAGGCATTTTCATACACACAGAACACAAAAAGAAGATACTCTATGCCACTGTGACTCTACAATTCATATTCTTTTGCTTAAACAAAGTATATAATAAATTATACATTCAGATAACTATCTCAGGAAAGTCTAAGCCACCACACTTCACTTGATCCCATACTCTGTGGTTGTCTCCCCCATGGCCTTGTTCACTATCTTGTAAACATAAACAGTTTTTCTTCCCCACCCCCATTCGTAGTTCTGGGTAGTTCTGGGTCCATCTGATCAACCCTGCTATCGTTCCATGATGAGATATGTCAGTCTATTCCCTTATGGTCTTATTCATCATTCCTGTAATCCTGTAATTCCTGGTCACCACTCTCCTTTGTATATTGTCTCTTCTATTGGAATATAAGCTCACTGAGGGCAGGGACTGTCTTTTCCTTTTGTATTTGTATCAGTAGTACTTAGCACAATGATTGGCATAAAGTAAGTACTTCATAACATTTCTTTCTCATTCATTCACTGGGAGTGGGGTCAGGGCTGAGGATACCCAGGTTCCATTATGAATTGAAGGACTTCCACAATGCAGGTGAAGGCCAGGAGTTTTATAGCAAAATGATTGCTTTCCAATCTCTGATATCACAGGCATCAAAGTTCTGGCAAGTATATGGGAGATGGCCAACCCACTATCAGTGATATTGTAAGGAAATGTCTATATAATGGAGGAGTGTTAGGTAGGAAGAAGGACCAAATCTAGAGCAGAAGCAACCATTAAGATGGAGCCCTAGTTTTCTCCCACTACTGTAACATTTTATGTATGTATATGTATGTATATGTATATATGTATAGATATGTATGTGTATAGATATGTATATATGCATATATGTATATATGTATGTGTTAATGTTTGTATATTTGAAATTAAGTTTTTCTAAGCTTTTTTCACCAACCTCAGATCATTCTGAACTTTAGTGTGCCTGTGTTTATGGGGGCAATGTTCTTTTACAAACTTCACTCTGCTATTTCATTAAATGCCTTTGTTTTCAAGCTAATTGTGTTTTCTGACTCACTAAAGGAAAAAGAAATCCACTGGTGGGAACTTGTGAGCTACTATTTTGAGTGCATGTACACTTGCAGAGGATAGCTCTTATGGGGACCTCACATGTGATGCACATTGTACATCTTGTTGTGTTAAAAAAAAAAAGAATAAGTTAGTGATTTGGGATGCCCCCCAGATGATTAAGTTGGCTGGAACTTTTGGTAATATGAACTCTGTTGGGAGGAGCTACCCTCTCCGCAGAACTATAAAAGTGAACTGAGAAACACACATCCCTTTTTTGGCTTCTAGCCATCTTTTCCTTTGTACCTCCTTTTCTCCTGTGCCCCCTCCCCCCCCCAAATGAAGCCATGATAGGTTGTGAGGGTATAATCAGATAATGGCTGCCTTAGAACAGAGTCACATGTTAGCTACATATCCCACCTACAGTTTTAAGGACAGAAGGCAGAGATCAGAGAACTGAGAGTGGACTTTCTTTTTTCCTTGTCCAAGAGATGAGAGCAGCTGAGGAAATGGTGGAGCATTCTGGAGAAGTCCATAGACACTAAATATATTTATCTGCATCGTCTCAGAGGGCAGTCCTAAGATATCGTCATTTCTAAACTCCTACTTCCTGGTTAGAGTGGAGAAAATTTCTGGGACAACATAATGCAAGAATCTAGCCTGGTAGTCAGAGAAGGAAATCTTCATAAGCAATGTTAGCTGTGGGAGTTGACTCAAAAGTAATTCCAAATTGCAGAGTTTGGGGACTTAGCCTTTTAGTGATAAGGAGAATTCTTGTGCAGCATGCTTGTTGGAGAAAGAATAGAGTTGCCCACATAAATCCCACTACTGGAGGATCAGAAAGACACTAAATCTACAACATGGGGAACAGAAGATACATTCTGTACTCCCTATTAACTGTGAATTATTTGGCTAGTGCCGGTCCAAAAGGAAGAGACCTACCTATTCAGTAGGTCCAAAGTATTTTTTTTTCTCCTGGGGATAGGGGAGTATACCTCTCCTTCGATCATACCACCTTGGAAAAACCAAAAACTTACACATCTCCAGAATTAGCTATGAAATCAGGACCATGAAAAACCTGAAGCTTGGGACAGTGCTCCCTCCTCCCCAGGAGCAAGGCACAACTTTAACAAAGTTAAAAGTCAAGAAATAGGCTGGAAAATGAGCAAACAACAAAAAAAAGGAATTGACCATAGAAAGTTACTGTGGGGTCAGGGAAGATCAAAATAAACTCAGAAGAGGACAACAATGTCAAAATGGCTACATGCAAAGCCTCAAAGAAAAATGTGAATTGGCATCAGGCACAAAAAAAAGACTTCCTGGAAGAGCTCAATTAAAAAAAAATCAAATAAGAGAGATAGAGGAAACATTGGGAAAAGAAATAAGAGTGGAACAAGAGAATCATGAAAAAGAGTCAACAATTAGGTAAAGGAAGCACAGAAAAAAAAATGGGAAAAGATATACAAAAATTCACTGAAGAAAACAACTCCTTAAAAAGCAGAATTGGCCAAATGGCAAAGGAAGGATGACAGCTCACTGAAGAAAATAATTCCTTAAAAATTAGAATTGGGCAAGTGGAAGCTAAACACCACGAGACATCAAGAAATACAACAAAACCAAAAAAAATGAAAAAAAGAAGAAAATATGAAATATCTCATTGGAAAAACAACTGACCTGGAAAATAGATTGAGGAGAGATATTTTAAGATTTTTGGACTCAATAACAAAAGTAGTAAAAATCACATGATTATATCAGTAGATGTAGAAAAAGGTTTTCACAAAATACAACACTCACTCCTTTTAAAAACACTTGAAAGCATAGATA